AACAGATGCACCTCGACCTAGTCAAAGGCGTGGAAAGTATGCTCTGCACAAATACGCAAGGAAGGCACGTAAGGACCCGATGATCGAGGCCGCTTCAGAGGAGGAGGAAGAGGAGGTGCCGCAGCTGCAGAGGAAAAGGCGCTTAGTGAAGGGGAAGGATGCTGCACCGGCTAAGAGGGGGAAAGGATGGAAATGATGCATTTGTAGTATTTTTCAAGGACTTGTAGTATTTGTCGAAGTCTTGATGTCGTGAACTTATGTTTGTCAAGGACTTGTAGTATTTGCCGAGGGCTTGATGACATGAACTTATGTTTGTTAAGTCAGACACAAAATGCCTCATGCACCACCTATGGTGCACATGAGGATGTCCTGGAATGTCAATCTTCCCTGCATTGAGTATCCTTGGGTGGTGGTCCGAGATGACGCAAACCTCTCTTTCAGGTCCAATTACTTTGGTCCTCACTAGATTAAGAAACCACTTTTAGTTGTCATTGTTCTCCGTCGACACCAAAGCGAAAGCCAATGGAACCAATTTTTCACCAACATCATTAGCAACGGCGATCAACAATGTGCCCTTGAACTGGCCGGTCAGAAATGTCCCATCCACAGACATAACCAGCCTACAATGCTTGAAGGCCCTAATGCATGGCTCAAAAGTCCAGAATGCACGTCCAAATATTCGAACGGTTGCATCGTTGTATATCATTGTTCTCACGCCATCTGGCTCCACCACATACATGCCAGGATTTTCTGTCGCCATCGCTTTCAACACCATCGCGAGGCAGTTGTATGATTCTTCCCAACCACCATACAATATCTGAAAGGCAACTTTCTTGGCCTTCCATGCCTTCCCATACTTCACCGTGTACTCAAAAACCTCCTACACTATTGAGTATATTTATGGAGGGTGAAAATCGATATGCAATGAATTTTGAGGTCAATTGACGGTGATCATCCTTTACGTTAGCATCATCAATATCCTTGCCACTAATCGATGCTGAAACACGGAACTTGTAATCTTCCATTGTGGCCCGCCTTTGACACATGTTGCACGGATAACCCAAGGGTAATGATTCTTGTGTTCCTCACATTGGACCACATAACGCAATTTGGAATTTGACTTCTTCACAAAGAATGGTCGATGAAACTTAACCGCGTAGTCCTTGACCCATATTTGAAGTTCTACCAAGCTTTCAAAGATTGTTCCTTCACTAACACTAGACACACTTGCTTTGGTATTTCGCTTTGAAGTTAACCTTGGTGCAATCATTTTACTTGTGCCACCATCAACAATCGCCTTATCGCCTAGGCTTAGATCACGGAACAATGATGTCTTGTGACTACGCCTATTACCTTCTTGAAAGTATTGGTTTCTTTAGCCGTCAAGCCATCCTCATCTCTTTCTTCATCCGGGCCTTCGTCCTCCGAGTCCCACGCATAGGACCTATTGTATGAAATGTCATGGTCCATGTCCGCTTTCATGCAATTTGCCTCAACATCGCCAACATAATGGTCATGAAGATAAGCCTCCGAGTCATCACCCTCAAACTCATCACCATCCATGTGCAAGTCTTGATTATCAAGTTGGTCATTCCCTACGGGGCTCAAAGGTTGGGTCATTGGAGGTTGGCTCATTGTTGTGTCATGCACATCCGGAGTGACATGTGTTGAATTTTGAACCGGGCTTCTAACATCATATGAACATGCACGCCTATTCAAATCAATGTGCAACCGAGCACGAACAACCTTTGTGGCAAATAACTCAAATGATTTATCTGGTGAGGCCAACACACTCTCCTTATACGCTTCCCAATGAAACTCGGAGTCAAGAGGCACTATCTTCCAACGAATATGTTGCTCGTACCCAACATTATACCTTCCGATTAAGTCTACTCCATCACTTTCTTCCATCCAATTCAACCTTCTTTGAAGCTCAACCACAACCTCCTCAAAGCTAGGACTTATGAGAAACACCATCACTAACGGCTTCTTCTTCGGGTGACCATACTCCGCGTCTCCCTTCCTAAAGGAGACAAAGTCCACATGATGCACATTCATGATCCTCGCCATCTACAATCATAAACACCAAAATACATTGCGAAAATGGATAACTTAGGGTTTCCCCGAATCGCCACAATGCAGAGATTTCAACCAACAAAAAGAGAAGAAATGAGGTAGAATACCTTTAGGGGTCGAAGGGGAGGATAAATCACCGATTTGGAGCTCCGATCCGACAAATTTTATGGACATTAGGAAGGGGCATGAGTGGGGCGGCCGGGGTGGAGAAAGATGGAAAAGAAAGGGTTTGGGGAAAAAAAGAGGGCCAACCACTTTTGTTTACTCAAGGGGCATGGCGCCCTGGTCCGGGGCATTATGCGGCCAACCATGGTGCTCTCACCCAGGACGTCATGCGAACAGGCCCTGCCAACGTGGCAACTGGCTGGTGACCCGTATGGCGCCCTTGACCAGGGCGTCATGCAGTCTGGCATGGCGCCCGGCGATGCGGATGTTATGCAAGAATGTCCATTTTATGATTTTTTTTAAAAAGAGTTTATTTTGTGCTGAACTTCGGTCAAAGGGCCAGTTTTGTAGTTTTTCACAGAGCTGGTAAGAGCAAGTAGTAACCGCATTTAACCACTTGATTGAACTCGCCCGTAACAACCACCGGAAGCGAGCCAGCGAGCGTGGGAGCTAGTGGCAATGCGAAACCGTAGACACACCGGCTGAAGTTGACGGAACTGCAGAAGCTAGATGCAGAGCACTGCCGCGCGCGATGAGTCACTGGAGGTCATGCCCAGACAATAAAGTTGGGTTCAGAAATAAAAGCAGGCGAGGCGAGGAGGATGAGGTCGGACGGAGGGCTGGCTGGCTGGAGATGGCCAAAACGGCGAGCGAACCGGACGGCTCCACGTCGCGAGGCCCGGCATCGGGCGGCGCGTCCACGTAGCCGCACCACCGTAGGAGGGGTAGTGGGGAGGGGAGGGGCAGAAAACGACGAGGCGGGGAAGGTAAGGTTGGGGCCGTGGAAGTCAGAGGCGGGTGGATCATCGATCGGCGAAAGGGGGACGTGGACGGAATCTGGGACAGCCTGGCGAGGCTTTAACGGCCTCCCACCGCACCGACACTGGCCGGTACTGTACTCGACACCACTCTACAGCCGAGATCGGCAGAGATCCACGCCCATGGCGAGAGCGAGAGCGAGATCGGGTCCGGGGGAGATCCATTCCACGGGTGCCAGCCCAACTAACAACCCCACCACCCCACCCGTTTCAGTTACGACCCTAGGCAGCTTCGCCGCAGCTTCCTGGGACCGTTTGTTTATCGCCCAAGCCGGTGCCCTGCACGCCGTTGCTTTGCCACTCCCCCAGCCTGTATCCTACACTATTTTTTATTTTTATTTTTATTATTATGCCCTCGCGGCGACCTCCGTACCGCCCCGGAACACGCACGGTGTCCTATCCGTCCAATGTCCTATCCGTCCAATGTCCATCCATCAATCTATCTTCCTTTCCCCCTGCCGACGTGCGGGATTCGAGAGCATTTCTTTATTTATCCACCGGGGGACGAGGCAGGCAGGCAGGCGGCAACGGCTGCTCGTGTGGAGGATGGATCTCTGAGCTCTCTCTCCTTTCGGTGCCTGCCACGGCTGCGAGCGAAACCAGTGAATGTGCCGGGCACGGTGGTCGGGGGGGGCGAGATGCCTTGTCTGGCTCCGGCGGGTGGGTGGGTGGGCGGGTGAGCGGTGAAGTGAAGGTGAGAGAGAGAGAGAGACAGAGGGGCAGTCAGGCTCGAATCAATGTGCGTGTCGCGGGCGAGCTGTGAGTCACTGTGCCCGGATTCCAGCGCCCCGCTAGCGGACAGGCGGCCGCGCGCGAAACTTCCAGCGAGCGAGCCTGCCGTGCGAGTGAAACCGGACAGGCCTTACTAGCTGTCATGCACGAGCGGCGGTACTCCGGAATTCAGAGCATGCTTGCATACGTTTTAGTTCCATGACTAAAAGTAGTGGGACTAAAACTTGCTAGTCTCACCCATGCTTAGATCCAAGTACTAAAGAGACTAAAATCTAGTTGTTGAGCATTTATTATCCTCCAAACCCTCCAATCCAGAACTAAGGAGAGGAATTAAATAAGGAGAGAGAGAGCTAATACATATTTTAGTAGGAGCATACTTGGATATGTTTTAGTCCCATGACTAAAAGTAGTGGGACTAAAACTTGCTAGTCTCACCCATGCTTGGATCCAAGTACTAAAGAGACTAAAATCTAGTTATTGAGCATTTATTATCCTCCAAACCCTCCAATCCAGAACTAAGGAGAGGAATTAAATGAGGAGAGAGAGAGTTAATACATATTTTAGTAGGTTTCCCATGACTAAAAGATTTTAGCCTCAAGACTAGTCCTAGCCTCTCTTTAGTCAGGGGTGCTTGAAACTTTAGCCTCTAAAAGAGACTATTTTTAGTCAGACTAAAAATAGTCCCTTGTATCCAAGCACCCTCTAGGTTTCCCATGACTAAAAGATTTTAGCCTCAAGACTAGTCCTAGCCTCTCTTTAGTCAGAGGTGCTTGGAACTTTAGCCTCTAAAAGAGACTATTTTTAGTCAGACTAAAAATAGTCCCTTGTATCAAGCACCCTCTCAACTGTTGGCTCGGTCACCACGTGAGCGTAAACGGCCGTGCGACTGCCACTGGTGTTGCACGGACGGGAGTAGTGGCGACCGTGGTGCATCGCCTCTGGCCCCCACAGCGTGGTGCTCTCGTTGCGTACCAACAGTCCCACCACCAACGAGATGAATTCACCTCCCCCAAAAAAAACGAGACGAAGAGCTGCTGCTCACACGCTCCGATAAGAAGACAGGATTAAGGAGGCCACACGGAACCTGCTCATTTAAGCCGAAATGTCAAGACATAATACCGGCGCACACGAGATGCTATTCCTAGGCAGTCAGGGAGAAAGGAAAACAAGTGCAAAGTAAAGGAATCCAGCAGCTCTTGGGCTCCTGGCTCATGTCGCAGCAGGCTCGGTCGGGGCGATTGACACGGAACGGAGCAGCTCCAGGGAAGTCGCCACACCTAGGAAATGCGACAGTATGGTGTTTGCTGAGGCCTGCGCACAGTGAGGATTAAAAGGCTGTTAGATTACTTCTCGTGAATGGTCACTGGCACTGACGAGTTATGAGTCATGAAGCCTTCAAGAAATTAAACTTCCAGCTTAAGCAATTGAACTTCAGTAACTCTGGTTTCAACTCACAGTTTCTTACTTCGCAATTAGAAATTTCGAAACCAACACGTAAGCATTTTTCCTAAATATTCGGACAGAAACAAAAAAATATTGGCTAGTACTGTACTAGTTAAGGCTCATTTTGCAGTTGATGAACTGTGTTGTGTTGTGCTTATTTTAAAAACTGCTGTGAACAGTTTGACACAAAAGCGCGCAACAGCAGGTCAAACAAACACTAAAACAGGGAAAATTGGGTGGGGTGAACGGGACTATGTGAATCCACCGCAACGCCAAACACAGCCTAAGTTTGGAATCCACAAAACTTGTTACTGAATGTTCACTGTGTTGGTTATTTACACGATTTTAAAGGCAAAGTTTGGAGGATCTGAAGGTATGTATTCAGGTTGTGTGCTATGAAAGTATAACTATAACTATATAAGTAGCACAATCTGAAAAACTATATAAGTACCACAGACAGGCCAGAACTATTACAGTACAGATTTGGTCCTAGACAAATGACCCAAAGCAGATGATAATGTACAAAGTCATGTCCCTCGCTATACATTGGCTTATCAAAACTTGCAATTACAATCAGGCTTATGGGTCTTGCTGTTTTTACATGAAGCAAACAGTTTATGATCTTGATTGTAGAGTAATGTGTGGCATCAAAATTCATACTCCCCCCGTCCCACAATATAGGACATTTTTACAAGCTACGTTAGCTTGCAAAAACGTCTTACATTATGGGACTGAGGGAGTATTACATATAGAAGAACACACTTTCAGAATTCAGAAATACGAACGTAATAAATAAGCAATCAAATACCTGAACCAGGAATACATCTAGAGCCAAAACAGGACTTTGGCCGGCGGAAGTTGCCTGATAATAGGGGACTGCGGAGGTAGTAAGGGCTTTTGCTACCAAAGCACCAACAAGTGCCTGCATACCGAGAACAGCTGCGCCCATCCCAAGAATATTGAGCACAATGCCATTTTTCAGACTTTTAATCACATCAGCCCGTGGAGGAGCCTGGAAATCAGTCCACAGTTTAATATTCGAATCTGAAAGAAAACCATATCTGAAGTATATCTTCTCATGCATAAAACAAAAATAAGCAGATATGAGTTATCTTTGCACTACCATTCAAATGCGTAAAAAATTAGTCCAACTCTCAGATGGTACACAAGATAGATAAGTACACAAGATGAGCCACAAGCAGTGGAGAAGGTTATGGTTCTCTGATATGAAAAAAAAACTCGTTCCTTTTGCTGGTAACAATGTGAAATGGGTGGTCAAGAAAGAGAGTACCTTTGCGGGTGCGCTTGCTGTTTTCCGAAGTCTTTCAGAAAGACGGATGTAGCCAAATGACCAGAAGACTGAAATAAAAGCTGCAGCAACGCCAGCAGCAGTTGTGTAGAATGTAAAGGGTGATGTAACCTTCCCGGTAACAACTGTGGAGAATGACAAAATTCCAGCAGAAACAAACGTGCACACCAACTGGGACCAGAACCCTAGGGTACCCAAATTCTTGAAATACCTAGCTGTTTTCTCTAGCCTCTTGATAACCTGTCCATTCAGTCATTGAAAAGGAATGAAGATATATGCTTCAGTCATGGTACATGGCTTAGAGTAGTACTTAAAGATAATCAATATACATGCAATATAACTTTAGCTATGTGAATAAACAGCCTAATTCAAAGCTACCAGCATCACGCAGGTTAACCAGCCTAATACAACACATACAGCTGGGAAAAGAAGAACATTGTCACAATGTGGCTTCAGGTATCAGGATGGCAGATTGTTCACTAAACGTAGGAGCTAGGAAAGTTGGAAGAAATGACATCGCAATTAAAACATGCCGTGTCACTTTTTCTAGGTAAGAGAGTTTAACCAGAAGATATGAAATCCTAAGGATCAATAGGTCATGACTGGGGAGCGCTGTATTTATTAACCCAATATTTCACTATCATTTTTCAATCTACATGCAACAGATGTGACATATGGGCACTAGCAAAATCACGAACATACAATTTTGAACCATCAACTATCACAGCAAAACAAAGCCAAAATACCATGAAATGCCTAATGAGGACAGTGGTTTTATTGGTAAGATCCAAACCTGATAAGGTAACGATACCTGTCATTAAACAGTTATAAGCGCACTAGCAAAATCACCAACACACAATCCTCTCAACTATCACATCAAAACGAAACCAGCAGGCACACCATGAAATGCTCAGTGAGGAGAGGTTCTATCAACAAGATTCAGACCTGAAATATCTATCTATGATATCTTTAGCGTCCAATTATGCTGACATTTCAGCAATTTCCCTGTACTTGAGATATATCAGATACAAATCACTTAATTTCCTAAACCCTAAACATCATCATGCCCGAGTGCATTATCCTAAGACAAGCAACCATCACATAACCCAACAGTAAATACTTCATGTGTCACTCTAAAATACATAAACCTAAAATTCCCATACAGATTTCCAAACATAACCTTTCTCAAGAAAGCAGGATAAGAACCCTACTTCACGCGTGGGTCAAGGGACCGGACGTCGATGGATCAATCAAAGGGGATAAAATTAGGGAAGCACCTGCTCGAGCTTGGCGCGCTCAATTGTCTGCTCGGTGGGGGGAGGCGGCGGGTAGAGAGGGCCCGACGAAGACGAGGACGCCGCCGCCGCCACAGTGAGGCGCCGTGGAGCGGCTTCGCCGCCCCCGAAGCAGAGGCGCCCAGTAGGGAGGGTAGCTCCGTTGAGGGGATGGCTGGCGAGCGACGCAACAGCGGGAAGCCCTCGCTGCCGGAGCAGCGGCGGCGGCAGCCGCGATGGGAGTAGGAGCGCCTGCATTTTGGTGATTGCGATGCTACTCGCCCGTTGTGCAGCGGTCGTGCTCGCCGTTGTCTTTTCCAGCGGAAGTTTAGCGTGAACCACCCTCTGGTTTTGTTATTTTCCGTTGGGCACTGCCGCTCCCACGTTTGAGTACCATTGCATCGATCGAACATAACAAATTCTAACCAAATTTAGGATAACTTTCTTGAAAGCACCTAATAAACGACTCATGCAAATAATTTGAAATACTCCCTCTTTTCACTTTTATAATACCTTGAAAACATTTCAAACAATGTACAAAAACAACCCATTTTGAGCTGTCTGAAATGACTTGAGGAAGTATCATTCTTCGTGAATCAACAAGCCTCTTGAATAAGATCACATATTTTATACAGTTGAATCAATTGTATGATCACTCATATAAATGCACATTTTCATGTCGCGATCAAACTGCACACACTCCTACCACCTCGCCTAGAATCGTGGGCAGTTTGATGCCTTTGCTACAAGCCTAATGACCAAGTATAGGGAGCTCCAGACGACATCACGTCAAATCATCACGAGCTTGGGTGGCGACTGATTCGTGTTATCACTAAGCCACTTGTATATGATCTCGTGTGGGTGGAGCCATTAAAGTATGCATCCCCACTAAGGTTACTGCATGCACTCATGCCACCACCATGCTTCCCCACTCCAGTTATCAAAAGATGATTAAGGGGAGTGAACTCTGACGATGATACGTACCTAGGGTAGAGTCTTAGGCCTGACCTAGACACCCTACCCAAGGACACTACCCTGAAGTCAAAGACATGCAAAGTGCAACACAAGATACCGACTGAAATCACCCCTGAAGTGTAAACCACTCGACGGAAGATTTCACTCGGATATCCCAATTCCACTCGACCAGATAAACAACACTCGACCGTACGAACAACCAACCACTCGGAGCATAGAAGGCCTACAGTCACCCCAGGATGGCAACAACCAGGAGTTCGCTCCATAGCAGGCGTTACTAGTAACGCCACTATATTAACTCACATTGAACCTTGTGTAACCGAGGGCTCGAGGGACTTGGCGCACTCTATATAAGCCACCCCCTCCTTTGGCACAAGGGTTCGCACCCCCTGTAACTTTCACACATATCCAGTTGACCAGTCTCCGCGGCACCGAGACGTAGGGCTATTACCTCCTCCGAGAGGGGCCTGAACTCGTAAACTCGTGTGTACAATCTCGTCGTAGCTAGGATCCCGCCTCCTCCTACGTACCCCTACTCTTACTGTCAGACTCATTCCCACGACAAACTCCCCATGGTCATGGCCTTAAGTTCTAGCATTCTCCACTAATCCCTATCGCAATGATCATGGACGAAGCGAGAATAGGTCCTCTCACTACCTACCCTCCACAACTACCCTTCTCACCAGTATAAACCACCTCAAGTCCATAAGTGGCTAATGCTGTGTGGGCGCCCTTCACAACACCATGAGGCAATCAACGCAATACATATAAAGAGAATATTGGATCTCTTATTCAACAAAGTAATAATCATTCAAGGGTTCATCCAAATCCTCGAGAACTAACACAACTACTCAAACATCATAGAGGGAGAAGGTAGGTTACAAGCCAGCATGAATCAGGTGGAGGAGAGGAGCATGCCGGTGCCGATGGTGATGATAGGACGCCGACGGTGAAGAGCGGAATGGCTCGAAGGCAGGTGCGCATGGTGGAGGCACCCCTTCTTCCTCTTGGCTTGGCCCTTCTCTTCTCTATGGAGGTGGTCTTGGAGTAACAATGGAGATGGATGACAACTGCGTGGATGAATGAATGATGAGAAGGTGGTGGCTAGGGTTGATGGTGATTATATGAAGGCCCCCGGGTATCTCCTTCGTTGATGTGGTCATCCAAGGGCTCAAGAGGAGATTTATCTTTCTCAATCCCTTCATTACGAGCCAAGGATCCCGTGGGAATTATTGGGGACAAAATCGATGAAGAATCCCATCTGGAAGGGCAATTTTTGGAGCTATCTGCATGTTAAACGACCGCTGAAACGACCGCACGCGGTCATTTGGAACATCTTCTTTTGATCTGACCTCCTCCGGTAAAACGGTCGTCATTTCTTCATACGAACTCGGAATTTGACGTTCTTGGGCTCATTGATTCGTATGAACGACACCAATCCATTTATGGTCCTAGATCTTAATTTGGAGAATTTTCGAGAAATGACTTTTTTTGACCTTCGAAATGGCTAAGTCTGACCCCTAGCTGACTCCGTATTGAACCCATCCTTGGTCCTTTCATCGTGCTTGGTCCTAGGTTGCTCCAATACACCTATAGTGAAGGAAATATGCCCTAGAGGCAATAATAAAGTTGTTATTTACATTTACTTATATCATAATAAATATTTATTATTCATGCTAGAATTGTATTAACCAGAAACTTGATACATGTGTGGATACATAGACAAAACACAGTGTACCTAGTAAGCCTCTACTAGACTAGCTCGTTAATCAAAGATGGTTAAGTTTCCTAACCATAGACATGTGTTGTCATTTGATGAACAGGATCACATCATTAGGAGAATGATGTGATGGACAAGACCCATCCGTTAGCTTAGCATGTTGATCGTTTAGTTTTATTGCTATTGCTTTCTTCATGTCAAATACATATTCCTTCGACTATGAGATTATGCAACTCCCGGATACCGGAGGAATACCTTGTGTGCTATCAAACATCAGAACATAACTGGGTGATTATAAAGATGCTCTACAGGTATCTCCAAAGGTGTTTGTTGGGTTGGCATAGATCGAGATTAGGATTTGTCACTCCGAGTATCAGAGAAGTATCTCTAGGCCCTCTCGGTAATGCACATCATGATAAGCCTTGCAAGCAATGTGACTAATGAGTTAATTGCGGGATGATGCATTACAGAACGAGTAAAGAGACTTGTCGGTAACGAGATTGAACTAGGTATGAAGATACCGACGATCGAATCTCGGTCAAGTAACATACCGATGACAAAGGGAATAACGTATGTTGTCATTACGGTACGACCGATAAAGATCTTCATAGAATATGTGGGAACCAATATGAGCATCCAGGTTCCGTTGTTGGTTATTGACCGTAGAGGTGTCTCGATCATGTCTACATAGTTCTCGAACCCGTAGGGTTCGCACGCTTAACGTTCGATACCAATTTTGTATTATATGAGTTATGTGATTTGGTGACTGAATGTTGTTCGGAGTCCCGGATGAGATCACAGACATGATGAGGAGTCTTGAAATGGTCGATAGGTAAAGATTCATATATAGGACGATAGTATTCAAGCACCGGAAGTGTTACAGGGGTACCGGGTAAGTATCGGGTCACCGGAAGGGGTTCCGGGCAACCCGCGGCAAACTATATGGGCCTAATGGGCCAAGAGAGGGACAGACAAGCCCCTAAGGGGCTGGTGCGCCCCCTATAGGCCGAATAGGAGGAGAAGGAAAGTAATGGAAGGGAGAAGGAAAGGGGAGGATTCGGCCTCCCCCTTTCCTTCTCCCCCCTCTCTTTCCTTCCCCCTCCGACACTTATGGAAGGGGGAGGGGAGGCCGACTTGTGGGAGGAGCCCAAGTAGGATTACTCCTACTTGGGGCGCCCCTTGCTGCCCCTCTCCCTCTCCCACCTATATATGTGTGGGGGCACCGCTAGAACACACAACATTGATTCCTATCCGTTTGTGGCGCCCCCCTCCAGTTTACGCCTCCAGTTAAATTCACGTAGTGCTGAGGCGAAGCCCTCCGCAGATAACTTCACCATCACCGTCCCCATGCCGTCGTGCTGACTGAACTCTCCCTCGACACTTTGCTGGACCAAGAGTTTGAGGGACGTCATCAAGTTGAACGTGTGCAGAACTCGGAGGTGCCGTACGTTCGGTGCTTGATCGGCCGGAACGCTTCCGCTTTCAGTCTACAAGGGTACGTGGACACACTCTTACCCTCTCATTGCTATGCATCTCCTAAATGGATCTTGCGTGAGCGTAGGAAAGTTTTTGAAATTGCATGCTACGTTCCCCAACAGTGGCATCCGAGCCAGGTCTATGCATATATGATATGCACGAGTAGAACAAAGGAGTTTCGGAATGGTCCAGAGGTGAAGGTTTATATATGGGAAGTAATCATACGGTCACCGGAAGTGTTCGGGGGATTATCAGTATTGTACCGGGACCACCAAAGGGGTTCCGGGGGTCCACCGGGAGGGTCCACCTGCCCCGGAGGGCCCTATGGGCTGTATGTGGAAGGGAACCAGCCCCTAAGTGGGCTGGGAACCATCCCCCCTAGGGCCCATGCGCCTAGGGTTGGGGGGAACCCTAAAGGGGGCGCCCCCCTTGGCTTGGGGGGCAAGCCCCCTCCCCTTGGCCGCCGCCCCCTCTAGATCTCATCTAGAGGGGCCGGCCCCCTTCCTCCTCCACCCTATAAATAGAGGGGTGGAGGAAGGGCAACAACACCACATCCAAGGCGCAGCCCTCCCCCTCTGCAACACCCCCTCCTCCTCCGTTGAGCTTGGCGAAGCCCTACCGGAGAACTGCGAGCTCCACCACCACGCCGTCGTGCTACCGGAGCTCTTCCCCAACTTCTCCTTCCCCCTTGCTGGATCAAGAAGGAGGAGACGTCCCTAGGCTGTACGTGTGTTGAACGCGGAGGCGCCGTTGTTCAGCACTTAGATCGGAATCAACCGCGATCTGAATCGCTGCGAGTACGACTCCTTCATCCGCGTTCTTGTAATGCTTCCGCATCGCGATCTTCAAGGGTATGAAGATGCACTCCCCTCTCTCTCGTTGCTAGTCTCTCCATAGATTGATCTTGGTGATGCGTAGAATTTTTTAATTTCTGCAACGATCCCCAATAGTGGCATCATGAGCTAGGTCTATGGTAGTTTCTATGCACGAGTAGAACACAAGTTGTTGTGGGCGTCTATTTTGTCAATTTACTTGCCGTTACTAGTATTATCTTGATTCGGCGGCATCGTGGGATGAAGCGGCCCGG